CTGAAAAGCTTTACGAAATTCATCAAGAATACGGTGAACAAAAAGTTAAGAACAAGTGGAACCATCCGGAACCGAACGCAATCGAGCAATGCAGCGGTCACTCATGAAAACACAAAGAGATGTAACGGAGGCTCACTACAGGAACCAGGATTCCAAGACAAAGAGGTCTGGCAGGTCAAGTCGTGCCGCATCACTTCTGGGTCTGCCCCGTGGCCCTCGGCACGGTGGGCCAAGTTGAATTGCAGATGGTGGCTCGGGTGAGCCGAGCAAAGCTCTGGCTGATGCAAGCGCCACCCCCTTGGAGCGCTGTGTGTAGGTGGTGGTAGTGTGTCCTGAGGTGCCTGTGTAGGTGACTTCCCCCGAGTTTTGCTTTATCCTTTTCCGGTGCAGTCGTGATGCGTCGCTGTTGCCCCTTGTTTGCCCCTTGTAGTGGTGTCCCGCTGGGTGTCTCTGCATTTTTGGGTGTTCTGCTGGCGGGCTGTAGCTACTGTTAACTTTCGGGCATTGTGATGCGGGGATGCATTGCACCGACGATTCCTTGCACGGGGTCCGCTGTAACCTTCATTCATTCAGTGTATGTGAAGAAGTGCATGAATTCTCGGTCTTAGAGGGCATTGCGTTATGTGTGTGGTGTAGGGCGTGTTGGATTTCACACAGCACCCTTGGCCCTTCATCAGATTACATGCAGCACAAGTCACACGGCTGCCAGAGATTCACACAGATTCACACAGCGGCCTCCTTCATCACGCCTGCCTGGGATTCAAACATTCAGTGCTCCGTTTGGTGCTCCCGGAGTTGCATGCTCTGCGCGTTCCAGTAGTCTCTCTCAGGCTGTGACAGCTGCCGCCACTTCAAGGCGATTTGCTTTGTATGCTCATGAGGCAGGGAGCTCTGTCCAGCTGCCGCTGCTTCTGCCTTCTGTGATTGCGTGAACAACATGTAGCCGTTTGGTACCTGCTTTGGCTTTGCCGCTTGACCACCCACGCTCTTCTTCCTGGCACGTGGATTTGTGACCTTCACAGCTGCTCCGCTATCTGTTATCAGCCTATAAAGGATCATGCCGTTTGCTTATGAATCTATCATGTAAGGGACATGCAACGACGTCAGAGGCAAAGGCTGCGGGGAAGTCAAACTCGAAGCCATGGAAAGCTATCTTCGCGCTCCGATTTAGCTGAATGTTCTTCTTTGGCCAATCAGTGAAAACTGATGTAGCTTTTACATGCAATCTTTAGCGGAGCGAGATATGAAA